TAATAATAATAATAATAATAATAATAATAATAATAATAATAATAATAATAATAATAATAATAATAATAATAATAATAATAATAATAATAATAATAATAATAATAATAATAATAATAATAATAATAATAATAATAATAATAATAATAATAATAATAATAATAATAATAATAATAATAATAATAATAATAATAATAATAATAATAATAATAATAATAATAATAATAATAATAATAATAATAATAATAATAATAATAATAATAATAATAATAATAATAATAGTAAAGCTATTCAGATTGATCCCCAAGCATGTATGCTCTCATTTGGTAATGGATTTGATGCTCTAGGAATTTTGAATGATCTCCTAGAGCTTCAAAATACTGGTCCATGTTAATGTCTTGGAATATAAGGGGCTGAATAAATCTGCTAAGATTAAGGAGGCTAGCTGCCGTCTCCATTCCCTTAATGCAGATATTAATATCCTGATTGAAACTAGAGTCAAGAGCTCCAAAGCTAACTCTGTTAGGCAGAAGCTAATGTTGGTAACAATTTTTTAGATAACTATCAAAGTCATGCAAATGGTAGAATCTGGATTAATTGGAGTAATAACAAAATTGATGTCAGGAAGGTTGTTTGCAATAGCCAGATGATTCATTGTGGGGTTTATCATATTAATGGAAGTTTCAAAATCTGGTTAACAGCTATATATGGCCATAATAGCCTGGAACAGAGGAAAAAATTGTGGATTACTTTAGATAACCTGCATACTGTTGGAGCCTGGTGCCTTGTTAGGGATTTTAATAATGTTCTTAGTGCTCATGACAGGATAGGGGGAAAATGGTAGTGGAAGCAAAGTTTAAAGACTTATAGGATTTTATGGATAAGAATGGACTTTATGAAATAGATAGTAAAGGGATCATTTCACTTGGTCTAATAGGCATTCTGTTGACATGATCTACTCTAGGATTGACAGACTTTTGGGAAATGTTACCTGGTTTCAGTCTCACTTGTCTCATTTTCTTCACATTTGGTCTCCTTTAATTTCTGATCATGCACTGCTCTTTGTTTCTAATCAGGTAGTCAGTAGAAACAAGATCCATATATTTAAATTCTTGAACTGTCTTACTGCATTAGATGGCTTCCTTGATGCAGTTCAAAATAATTGGAGTGCTCATCTGGATGGTAGACCAATGTTTGTTCTATGGAATAAGTTGAAGAGATTATAACCTGTATTAGTCAAACTTCAGTTGCCTCTGCTCTAAGCTAGGAAACATATTGCTCTGACTAGGAATAAGTTGGATATGGCTCAGACTAGACTACAGAATGATAAAATGAATACTGAGAAGATGAATGAGGTTAAGAATTTATCTGCAGAACTATTATCTTGGAATGAAACAGAGATTGCCATCTTGAAGCAAAGAGCTAAAGTCAATTGGCTTAAATTTGGTGATGAAAACTCCTCTTTCTTTCATTCTGTTGTGAAATCCAAGCAGGAGTCTACGAATTTGTCTTGTTTAATTAGAGAGGATGGTGTTGTCTTGTCTTCCCATGCTGAGATTTAGCAAGAAATTCTTTCTTTTTATGGTGACCTGATGGGTAGCAAGGAGGAAGAAATTATTGGGATTGATTTGGCTGCAATGAGAAGGGGTGCCCAGCTTAATAGTGCTCAAAGAGAATTCCTTAAATCTGCCATCAATGATACAGAAATCTATGAAGCTCTCAAAGATATCAGTGATGTGTCAGCCCCTGGTATAGATGGATTTAATTCTGTTTTCTTTAAAGCTACTTGGGACATTATCAAGTATGATCTCCTTGCTGCAGTTCACGAGTTCTTTAACAAGAATTACTTATACAAAGCTTTCAATTGTTCCAGTATTACTCTTCTGCCTAAGACAAAATCTGCTAGGAGAATTACTGAATTCAGGCCTATATCTGTCCGCACTAGCGTTTATAAAATCATTTCTAAAATTTTGACAAATAGATTGGGGGAAGTTATTGGAAGTATCATTAGTCCAAATCAAGCAGCATTCATCCCTGGGCAGCAAATTCATAATCAGATTCTCCTTGCTTATGAGCTCATTAAAGGCTATTCGAGAAAATATGCTACTCCGCGATGTATGATACAAATTGATATGCAAAAGGCATACGATATGGTTGACTGGAGGGCCCTGGATAGAATTCTTCAGGAGATTGGTATTCCCAATAAATTCAAAAAGTGGATCATGCTTACTGTTACCACTGTATCGTATCGTTTCAATGTCAATGGATCTCTGTCTACTTTGTTGCAGGCTCAAAGGGGCATAAGGCAAGGGGATCCCATTTCCCCTTACCTTTTTGTCATCACCATGGAATACATGCATAGATGCCTCCACCAGATGCAAATGAACCCCAATTTTAATCATCACCCTAAGTGTGAAAAACTCCAGATTACAAATCTTGCCTTTGCTGATGATTTGCTTCTTTTTTCTATAGGTGATATTGGATCCTTATCTTTGATGATGCAAGCTTTCAACCGGTTTTCTCGTTCTACAGGTATGAAAGTTAATCCTCTTAAAAGCAAAATATACTTTGGAGCTGCGGATTTGGATACTAAACAGCAAGTGTTACAGTTGACTAAATTCCTTGAAGGGAGCCTCCCAGTCAGATATTTGGGGGTGCCTCTCTCTTCTAAGAAGTTGGCTGCAAAATATTACCTGCCCCTTATTGATAAGATTGTCAGTAGGATTAGGCATTGGTCTTCCCAATTATTAAGTGCAGCTGGTAGACTTCAACTCCTCAAATCTGTAATTTTTGCTATGAATAATTTTTGGTTCACTTGTTTCCCTATGCCTAAAGTGGTGCTGCAAAAGATTAATACTATATGCAGATCGTTCTTCTGGGCTGGTACAGATAGGATGAGTAGGAAGAGTCCTGTGGCCTGGAAACAAGTCTGTAGCCCCAAGAAAAAGTGTGGTCTTGGTTTAATTGACTTGTTTATTTGGAAAGAAGTAGCTTTGCTTAAATTGCTATGGAATCTCTGTGCTAAAAAAGATAATTTGTGGGTTAGGTGGATACACTCCTATTATATGAAGAATGATGATATCATGAAATGTAAGATTAAAGATAATGGCACTTGGATAATGAAATGGGTTATGGTGACAAGAGAATATATTC